TATCTCTCCTCTACCTGGGGCCACATGTTTCCACTAAATTCATTGGAACTAAGGATCTTCTATCCTCTATCAAACAGGAAATAATTTACCAGTATTACATCCTAGACCATAACAAGTCAGTCAAGTATTCTTAACACCTTAAAAGATAACTTTAAATGTTAAGTTTTTCCTGTTCTACATACTTCTAAAAATTGTATAACTATTTGGAAAATTATCCTCTATATATACCTTAAGTAAAAATTCTCTTATATGAAGATGATTCAAGAAGCAGATCAAATGCATATTATAGGATTCATAGATGTGATTAATAGCTGTCCATCTAGAAAGTGAAAACTCACCCTCCAAAGCAAAGGAAGAAAATCACATCTAAGATTTAAATAAACAACACCACAGTATGCCATTTACTTACGAAACAAACTTCCCCACTTCCACCTGCAATATTGGTTCTCGCAACTGCACTTCCAAGAGCAAGTCTTCAGGTTGTACTTCATCTCCAGGTTTCACAGGATGTGGATTAAAGATTCGGAGATATCCCTTATAACTACCCACAATAACTTTATCTAAAAAACAAACAAACAAACAAACACAACACATAGGATACTACACAGTACAATAGCATGCACACATGGAATTCAATTTACTGCAGAGTGCTTCAAATAATGCCCTAAAAGGATAGGATACTGACATGATTCAGTTAATGTTCATTATGCTCCATCTTCTAGTTTAACTTTAATGATTACAATTTTTGCAGATATGTGAATGTCAGCATCAGTGATGGCAGCAATAGGGTTAAGTGTTTATGGGTAAGAATCAGGGAAAAGGCCAATGAGGCAGATGTCATGGTTGGAGTCTGACCACCCAATAAGAACAAAGAGGCAATGAAATATTCTACAAGCAGCTTGAAGAAGTCTCACAATCACCAGCCCTTGCTCTCATGGAGTATTTCAAGTTACCAGATGTCTGCTGAAAATATAACACAGCAGAAAGAAACGGTCTAGGAGACTTCTGGAGTGTATGAAAGATAATTGCCTTACACAACTGGTGAAGGAGCCAGCTAGGGAAGGTGCCCCACTGGATTTGCTGTTTGTGAACAGAGAAGGATTTGTAGGTGATATGAAGGTTGGAGGCTGTAGTAGGCACAGTGATCACAAAATTTTATTTTCAATTCTTAGAGAAGGAAGGAGGGGAAACAGCAGACCTGCTCTCATGGACTTGCTGAGGCCAGATTTTCACCCATTTAGGAAACTGGTTGACAGAGTCCTTTGAAAGGCAGTTCTGAAGAGCAAAGGGGCCCAGGAAGGTTGGACATTGGTAACAAAGGAAGTCTTAAAAGGTACAGGATCAGGCCATCTTGTGTGCCAAAAGACAAGTTTGCAGGGAAGAACACCATCCTGGCTGCACAGAGCTTTGGCTGGAATTCAGGAAAAAGAGGAGATGTGACCTTTGGAAGAAGGGGCAGCTGAATCAGGGGGGCTGAATCTGCTGAATTGTAAGGTTATGCAGGAAGAAAATTACAAGGGCCAAAATCCAACTAGAACTTAATCTAGCTACTGCCACAAAAGTCTAAAAACTTTCTATCAATATATATCAGCAACAAAAGGATGGCCAAGGGGAATCTCTATTTTTTTTACTGAATATGGCTGGAAACATAGTGACAAAGGATGAGGAAAAGGCTGAGGTACTTAGTACTGCCTTTGCCTCAGTCTTCAACAGAGCAACAGTAGTTCTCTGGGTATGCAGCCCCTGAGCTGGAAAACAGAAACAGGGAGCAGAAAAAGGCCCCCTTAATGCAAGGGGATATGGTCAGCATTCTGCTACATCACTCAGACACAAACACAAGTCTATGGAGCCAGATGGGATCCACCCAGGAACACTGAAAGTAGAAGTGCTCACCAAGCCACTCTCCATCATTTATTATCAGTCCTGACTGACCAAGGAGCTTCCAGTTGACTGGAAGTTAGCAAATGTGATCCCTATCTACACAAATGGCCAGAAGGAGGATCCAGGGAACTACAGCCTGACCTCGATACCAGGGAAAGTCATGGAGCATATCATCTTTAGTGCCATCATGAAGCTTGCATGGGACAACCAGGGGATCAAACATAGCAAGAGGGGTTCTGAAATGCAGATTCTGTTCTACCAAGCTGATCTTCTTCTATCACAAGGTGACCATCTTAATGGAAAAGGGACAGATCATGGATGTTGTTTACCTCAACTTCAGTGAACCTTTGACAGGATTTCCCACAGCATTCTCCTGGAGAAACTGGATAGTCATGGCTTTGGTGTATTGCTTGCTGGGTACAAAAGTGGCTGGGTGGCTGAGCCCAGAGTGGTGGTGAATTGAGTCATATCCAGCTGGTGACCGGTCACAAGTGACATTCCCCAGGCTCAGTACTGGAGCCAGTCCTGTTTACTATCTTTATCAACAACCTGGATGAGGGGATCAAGTGCACCCTCAGTAAGTTTGCTGATGACACCAAGTTGGGTGGGAGGGTTATCTGCTGGAGGGTCAGATAGCTCTCTGGACAGGCTGGAACAATGGGTTGAAGCCAATCGTATGAGGTTCAACAAGGCTAAGTGCCAGGTCATTCACTTCAGTCACAACAACCCCATGCAGCACAACAGGCTTGGGGAAAAGTGACTGGAAAGCTCCCCAACAGAAAAGTACCTAGAGTGATGGTTGACAGCAGCTGGAACATGAACCAGCATGTAGTTCATTTTGGTTCATGGCCAAGTAGGCCAATGGCATCCTGGCTTGTATCAGAAAGTGTGTGGCCAGAGAAGTATTGCCCCCCTGTATTCAGCACTGGTGAGGTTGCATCTCAAATACAGTATTCAGTTTTTAGGCCCCTCACTACAAGAAAGTCATGATGGTGGTGGAGCATGGCCAGAGAAGGGCAACAAAGCCAGTGAAGGGCTTAGTGGTGCACCAGGGGCTGTAAAGCCTAGATGGGATATTAGGAAAAATTTTACCAAATGGGTTTTGAAGCACTGGAAGAGACTGCCAGGGGAAGTGGTTAAAAATATCTACCATTGAGGGAATAAGACTTGAGACAATTTACTAGTGAACACAAGCAAGAATTAATATATCTAGCAGCATACAAATATAAAAAGATAGAGAGCACCAAATTTGTCTTTTTAAGCCCACAAGGACACATTAAAGATAGCAGACCTAAAACTAACTGGCTGGCTATCAAGCTTTCACCATGCATTGGTCAAAGCAAACCTATAGCTGTGTGGCATAAAAACCAGCAATTTTAAGTCTGAATTTACCTTGTCCACTGCCACTATTATCAACATCAGCAACACACAGACAGCCTTGGTCAAATTCTTCCTTTTCTCCAAGTATGGTGGACCACCAGTCTCTAGCTTTAAACAAGGACATTCTTCTTTACTGCAAAGGAAACAAACCATTGTTAAAGTTTATACTAATACATGCAATTGTTTACACAAAAAAACTTTCTTTGTTAGAAACAGGTTTCCTTAAGTATATTACACCTCTCAGTTTCACATTGCACTAGTATGAGGTAAATAAATGTTAATTTCAGGTGTCTGGAGTTTCTGGTTATACAGTTCAGAAAACAACCTCAGGAATCTTACAGTCATTCGTTGAATTAGATGTGATAGAC